AAACAGCACAATACACCTTAATGTAGGTTCATATAGAACTTTTTTATTAATAATATTGGACTAACTATTCAGACTACTAGGACTCTGTTGTTTAAAACATAGTTAAAGTATAGCAAAACATGATACTATTTCCTAGTACAATGAAGGTGTTTTATTAGTGCATCAATTGCAGTAGACAGTAGTCGTCCTTTTCATGTAACTGTGCTCATCTACTAATGTTGCTACCATTGCTACTAAACGTTGTTTTATTTAGGTGTCTGAGACTTTAATTATATTCTCTCTTATTGCCTTTATTACAATTAAATAATTTGTTATCATAATGTTCACCCTTCCCTCACTTGAAACATTATTCCCCTCTTGGGCTATGGCTTGAGGCTTGATAGACTGATCTGTCACTAAAATGTTATTGAACGGGTTCTCCTCCCTCTATTGCTTGTCAGAAACAGCAGCTGCCCTCTCCTTACTCTTACACATCTCTTTGCATCCTCATTTGCTTTAACCATGGCAAGCAAACATGACAGTAACCTTGAGGTTTTTTGGCTTGGTTGTTGGTGTTTTTTGTTTGGTTGGTTGTTTTTTTTTTCTGGCAACTGGACTTCCAGTTCAAACAACTCAGCCAAGTTGAGTAACAAATAAATAACCTTTCAGATATCTCTACAGCACCTCAGCATCTAAGCAGGTTTACATGGAGGAAGTATCAGGTGACGAATGTGACAAATTCTGTACTTTGGCAGTGGGATTATCCAAAAAAAATCTAAAGCGTGCAACTGGATTTAAAACGCAAGTTAGGAACAGGGACTTCCAGCCTTGACTAAGTATTAATGTGTTCAGAAACATTTAAGTGCCTTGATTTTTAATTTCTAATGTACTTTCTCTTTAGCCCTTCTGCTAAACTCCTGTATAGACACTCCTTTATTTACGCATAGGTTGAAAAACCTACCTGCATTATGAAATCCCATTGGTTTCGGCTATGTTTTTCATAGGTGTCACCCTGAACCCTTGTTTTTGTGGTGCATGCGCTATATCAGAAGTTACTGTAACCTGAAGGCGAGGGCATTAAATGAAATGATGACCCAAGAAGATGTGGTAGCTTGATTTTGAACACATGACACAGGTCATAAAAGGAATAATTTTTTCATTGTATGAATTAAGTTGCAGGGCTACTGTTAAGTTAAACTTAAAATAACCCTTTTAAAAGTTGTCGAGGATAATGAATTAGCCAGGAGGAGCTGGAGTCTGCTGCTGCCAACTAAAGTGCTTGGGGACTTGAGATAGAAGTGAACGATAAGAAGTAACTTTCATGCATTCAAATAAATTACATGTTGGGCTTGGCTTAATCCTGGCATCAGAATGATCTCTGGGGTTTTCCCTACATTATCTTAGTCTATGATTATGCAAATATCCTTTTAATGTAGCGACTCCTTAACAGGAAATTAGTCTCATACTTGCTCATAGGCTCTTGCAACCAACAGACATTTGCTTGCAAAATCCTAGTCTGTCTGAGGTACAAAAGGCACATTAACCCTTGAAGTGCCAAAACTTTGCAAACATGCAAATAACAGGGCATGCTTGGATACGTTGGGGATGTAGCAGATGAATCACCGAAGAGATAAGTTTCCTAACACAAAAATATTGCTGGGTTTGAAAGTTCACCCTGCATACAAATGGTATTAAGTTTCCATTTTGCTTTGTAAGGAAAACAGGGGAGGGAGAAAAACCTTACAGAAAAGCAGGATTAAAACTGCGTAAGACACGGAAATGAGACAAAGCATAAAGACAAGAGAAATGTGATCATTAGTATTAAATGCACAGCAACCTGCTGAGCCCAGGTAGTCTACATCCTCATCCATGGATAGAGACGCGCTCTGATTTATTGCAGTGATGTTTTCAGGAACTGCACAAAAATGGGGACTGTGAGGGTAACTTGCTTTTTTTTGGATAACAGGAACTTAGGAATGGGGATCAGATGCTTCATCTGGAAAGACAGCTGGTATCCTTTGGGAGGAGTGGAATTGAATTCACAAAAATTGCATTGTGTTACTTGCCATAGTATTCATGTATATCTCTGAATAAGCAGGAAAGCTTGTTTTTTTTTATTTCTTCTTTTTGTAAATCTCTGCCAGGTGAATTTATATTTTTCTTAAACTAAGGGTTTCTAGTATAAGAGGTCATATTTCTTTTTACGACAAAAAACAAAAAATACCAGTTAAGCGCTTGATGTCAGTCTTGGATAAACTAGCGTCAAATTGGCAGGTAGTACTTGAGGTGCACCCCCCCCCCGCCCCCAGCCCCCTTTTCTTTCTTTACCCCTGATTGAACACAGACAGCTAAATCCTCAGAGTTACAGGGGAACCTAATGAAATTAAGCATCTAACTTTCCATCGGGATTTAAGGTAGTACCTGATTCATTCAAGCTATTTTGAAACTCCCATCAAAGTGAACTGTTCAAGGCATGACCTTCAGGTAACACTTGAATCAGCCACAAGATCTAGACTTCCAGCTCTGTGCTTTAAATGTAAGATCTATCCTTTCTTCTATATCCAGTGTATTCTGCTTGTAATTACCAGAAATTACCATTAGAGAATTCAGAGTTAATCTGAGGCTCATTAAAGAGCAAGAAGTTATGCTTAACTATTTAAATAAATTGTTGTTGATCTGGTTTCTGGAGATTAAACTCTGTAACTTTATCTGCTACAGATGGGAGAAATTCGCTAATACAATAGCATGGTATCTTAGGGTAAAAAAAACCTAACAAGCATATGTAAGTACACCAAGAGTGAGGTTTGAAAATGCTATATAGGCAGTATTTCCATGACTCTCCATTAAATCCCATCTGGTGAAACACAGCCCATTTTCACTTTTTCTGACTGCTGTAGCAGATTCTAGTGAATCCCAGATTAAGTCTGAAGACACACAGAAAAAAATGAAAAATTTGCTATTTGGAATTGATTTTGTTTTCAGTGGATTAAAATCCTAAGAAACAGCCAACTGCTGAGGTTCCGCTAGCGGTTTCACCTCCAAAATGACTCTGCAGTGCTACACGCAGCATGCTGAACCACTAGCATTCAAATTCAGCAGAAACGGGTCCCTGTGCTAATTATGCCATCCAGAGAATTGTGAGATTTTATTTACCATCTGATCTATGTAGTGACCTCTTGGGTAGGCCAGTGGCCTCAAAACCAAAACATTCTCCTGATTTCTTTATTGCTTATGAATCTCTACACAGCTGATTATCCCCTTCAGTAGGAATACAGTAACTAGCATCAGCTCGCAGTTTTTATAGCAATTTTGAAATTAAGGTGCATGAATATCAAATTGTATATTTGCTTCTGTTCCTTGATACAGCCACATAAAATGATTCAGGGGTTGGTGGTTTTGCCAATTTGCTATCTTCTGTGAAATGGCAAAAAAAAATGTTACAAACCTGACAAAAATGAATTTAGAGGAAGGTTACTGGTTTATTTGTATTGTTCCACTAGCCACTGGGCTATTTTAAATGTTAGTTTTTAAATGATGATTTCAGAGTTAAAGGAAATAATGCCAGTTGTTCAGGTATTACAGCATTCACTGGAGGACCTATATTGGCATCATAATTGCTTACTGTAAGTTAGAGCTCTCTCTCTTCATGTTTCAAGACGTTGTATTCTGCAGTTCTATTTCCTTCTTGGAAACCAAGCAAGACGTTCATTAGGAAAATACTTTTATTGGGAAATATTAGAACTTTTTTAATTTTTTGGATGACCTACATGAAATGGGAATTATGTCATTTTTACCTAAGCCTATCTGGTGATACTAAACACAGATAATCAGCTTTGAAGACCAAGTCTTTGTTGCAAACATATAAAAATACCTACCTGCCTTATTTAGCCTACAATTCACATCAGAAAACGGTCCAGTATTAACAATGCCATGAGTTTAGAAGCTTTAAATCCTATGAGAAATTTTCATATTTTTGTTCTACATAATTTGAGCTAAACTGTAGGGGTTTTCTGAACACTTTGGGAAGCACTAATCATGCCACAGGTTTATTGAAGCCACCAAAGCTGTGAGAGCATTGATTTCTTTGTTGAGAATTCACATGCAACCAGATGTGTGAAGAGTGTATTTAGCTGAATGGGACTGTGAGCATCTCGGAATCCTATATGAAAGAACTTACCAATTACTACAGAAATTTGGTATTTCACACAGATTTTAGAAAGCTTACAGAGTGGCAAATTATAGTTGGATGAGGAAGTGGCTATTTGCAATTAACATGGCTGCAGAAGAATATATCTAGCAAAAAGTACCCTTCCTTCGAGTATTTTGTAGTTTGTCATTGCACATGCAGAATAAAGTACCACCAAATGTAAAATCATCTTTATTCTTACAAAATGTCAGTATTATGGAATGACATAATTACATCCTATTCTGTCAGCATCATCAGATGTTGATGAATAAATGGGAATTTACTTTTTACAGAAATACAGCAGTTTAAATGAAGAATTAAAGATCACAGTCACTTGCTGGCAACTAGATTTCAAGACAAAGTGGATTGTCACATCAAGAAGTATTGCTGTTAGCATGCCCAAAGAGAAAAAAAGCTGAGAGAAATGCAATCTACTTTCCCTTCATGGCAGTTGCACTTCTGAAATCTTGAAAATAATTAGAGATGCATTTTGTGCTTAAGTGGAGCACAGGAGTATGCAGCCTGTCCAAAGTCACTCTGATGTAAAAAGTAACATTTTTCATTCACGTTCTTACTACTGTTTACATCCACTCACAAGATGTGGAATCACTGCGAAAAATTTGCCACTGACAAATAAGTGTCTAAAAATGCCAAAATGGATCACAGATTAACAGAATGGTTTGCGTTAGAAGGGATCTTTGCTGTCAGACTTCACACCTGCGACTAGAGTCTCAATACTCCATCAGAAAGTTGGGCAATTGATGCTTAGACTGATGTCACTGGGAGCAAGTCTCCAGCCCAGGATATTTTGAAAGAAGACACTAAGACACAGAAATTTGGGAGAATGTATTTTAATAAGCAGTTTGATTAAATCTATCTTAGGCTGGCTAATCATAGGTCATAAAAATGCTGTTTTAAAGTTGTAATAAACAAAATCCTTCTTACTGAAAGGGAATGAACTTGAAGAAGTAAAAATCAGACAAGACCCAGAGCAGTCAGTCAATAACAACTTCCAAATGCACGCTATAAAACTGTTTCCTACTCATTATAATGACAATTGAGAGAATTAAAAAATACACATGATACAGGCTTAATTTTAGAAAAAGCTCCTATTAATATGGCAACAAATCACCAGTTCAAACAATGCTTTCAACTTCTAATTAAGGGGTTGTCCTCACTTTCTTCTCAAGAATGAAGGCTACTATAACCTTCAGAAATGGAGACTTAGAGCAAGTTCAGTGGTGCTGCAGTATAGCAGGATCAACAAATGCAGGTTGTTGAAATATGAATTTCTAAAGCCAACAAAATGTCCCATTAGTTCTCAGTCTTTTTTCAAAATCATTTCTTGCATCTGAATTTTCATTCCTCCCACTGTAGCATTTGCCAGGATAAATAGCAATAATTGTTCAGCTTTGTTTGTTTCTTTGCTTGTTTTAACTCTCCTTTTCTTCTTGGATGTGTTTACAATAAAAACTGATCGCTAAGATCTGTCAGCCACCTGAGAGTAACAGCACCCCCTTCTGGTTTTAACAGTGCGAGGTCAAATCTGGAACTCCCATCATGTAAGAAACCTGTGTAGGAGAAACAAGTCAAAATATTCTCAAACTAGACATTGGGTCATAAGAAATAGGCAAAGGAATATTAGTGCCACTATATTAGCCCGATCTATTCAATTGCAGGGGCAGAGGAGCAATTTTAGGATGGTTCTCGTGGGCCGAGAAGTAGCTCTGTGCAGGTGTGGTAACCAGCATGTCTTCATCACTGTATGCAGTGGCAGCACTCCAAATACCTGTTCATGCAGAGACTCACTTGACAGCAAGGCTCCTGTCCCACTGCTTCCTCCTGTAGTGTGGGCATACATACTTGCGATTCAAGTACCTGTCTGTTCTGGGCTCACGCTGCCTGAGCAGCCATTTTTCATCTCTTCTGATGCAACCACAGTGGGTGGAGAGGATTATCTGATGGGCCAACTGTGCAACAAGTGGCCCATCCTGTTTAATTAGACCACCACTCTGGCCTAACAACTCCTTTATAATCTCAGCACTGGTATCTTTAAACTTGCTTAGATTTTCAGGAAGAAGTGTCTAAGACTTTGAAATGTTATGCTACTGTTGTGTTTTGCCATACCAAGCAGTATACTGTTTATGTGAGAATTATTTCAGGGATCCTTCATGTAGAGAGCTGCCTGATATGTAATCTGTATGCATTACGCCTGATCAGTACTTCAAACTTCACAGAATCACAGAATGGTTTGAGCTGGAAGGGACCTTAAAGATCATGCAGTTCCAACCACCTGCCATGGGAGAGGTCAAGGGCAGGGACACCTTCCCCTAGACCAAGTTACTCCAAGCCCCATCCAACCTGGCCTTGAACACTGCCAGGGAGACTGGGCAGCCATAGGTTTTCTGGGCAACCTGTGCCAGTGCCTCAACACCCTCAAAGGGGAGAACTTCTTCTGATGTCTCATCTAAATCTCCCCTCTAAGTTTAAAGCTATTCCCCGTTGTCCTGTCACTACAGGCCCTTGTCAAAGCCCCTCTTCAGATTTCCTGATGGCCCCTTTAGGCACTGGAAGCTGCTCTAAGGTCTCCATGGAGCCTTCTCTTCTCCAGACTGAACAAGCTCAGCTCTCTCAGCCTGTCTCCATAGGAATGCTTGATACAGTTATGTTTTAAAAAGCAATTGCACTTCATGCAGTACATAGATGCTAAAATACACACAGCACACACTTAACTATTAATACATATCTTCTTGGTGCATTTGTGATAAATAAGCATTATTTCAGGCACAAATACAATTGCAGCAGAAATGGAGCAGAGGGGGGAGATGTGCAACACTGAAGCTTCCTAAGTGGGAAAGCAAGCTGAAGTAATGGTGTCATGTATAGTCTCTCCCTCCAAAGAGATCATTTCTATAGATAAATTCACACCTGAATATAAATGTTGGGGTCATTTATAAGATTCCGTTTTCTCCTGTTGGATGTTTTGAAGGATCTAGCCCATGCTGCTTCATCTGCACTGCGATATCAAACAAGTAATCATAACATTCGCACCTAGAATTAAAATGAAAATAGAAGGAAAATGTAAAGTAAGGCCCAAGTCTTGCCATGTTTTTCAAAAAGTAGTGATTTACTTCCTTGAGCTTTACATCACCAATGTAAATGTCTGAATGCACAGCCCCATTACCATTTATTTCCATTACTGCTGTAAGTGAAGCGCTCATCATTTTTGCTACATGATCCTGATTTGCTGCATTTCCATCAGCAAATGAGGAAGTAAATTCCAAAAATGGGACTAGGGAAGACTAATCAAACAGTATTGGCTGGTGTCATATAAAAGCACAGATTGCCTGCAGGTATCATATGAGGAAGGACTTGTCCCTGTGAAAGGAAAATGTTGGCAACCCTATCAGCCAGCATTGATATGAAAGGAAAATTATGTGGTGGTATCGTGAATGAACCCATGGCTAAAGCTCCTTATACATTCAGTGAGGCCAGAACTTAATGTTCTGAATCATTGTCCATGGTTGACATTAAGGTCATTATTAAGATTTTGAGGTATAATGGCAAAAGATACCTAAAAGATATTCCTAAATTCTACTCACATCGTTTTGGCTTTTTCCCATGTTTCTCCCCATACGTAAACTCCGTGACGTCTGACCAATACAGCACAAGAGTCTGGGTATTTTTCCATTGCACGTGCCATTCTTTCCTTGAGATCCTTCTCTTCTGGTGTGTTCTCAATGATGGGAACCACTAGTGTATCATCATACCTAAAAGAAAAAATAATGATCATGTGTTTAAATAAAATGCTGTGTCTGGGTGCACGACGCTTTTCCTTAAGAAACAGATTCTCTGCGCAAAGATGTTAAATTCTCAGCACTAGTGACTTTATGCTCTTCTCTTCTGAGTCATCCTGTAACCTAAGAACTCTCAGGAACACCTTTCACTCCCAAACCCACATTATTCTGGCAATATCTAAGCTATACTTGAGGCACAAAAAGAGAAAACCACTTTAATGTATAAGGTGCAGCTATTCAGATATAACACTTCGTAGTTGAGCCCCTTTACAACTTTTTCAGACTCTTCATCCTATATTGGCATCACCTACAAGTTTTATCTCAGATTAAATTATTTAAAGGAATCACATCATGAAGAAGGAAATTAAACTGTTTGCTGGAGAGCAGAAAAAAATTAATTTTGGTAGTCCAAAAAGCCCCTGGAAATAAGACTGTCCTGCTAAGGCATATAAATAGAAAGTAGAGTCAACACATGAAAAATAAATTCTCCCTGATGGAGTCATTGGTGGGCTACATGTGAACTTAAGAGAGCCTGAGAACCCTAGTTCCAAAGACAAGATGATGCATGTTACTCAGTGGAACTTGCCTAAGAGTTTCTTCTGAAGGAGGACTATGATATTTGGCATTGCTTGAATCTTAATTAACACTGGCAGAAACTTGTTTAAATAGTTTTAATAAGTCCCCAGCTCAAGTTCAGATTTATCATTGAGATCACACAGATATTTCATGAGTGGATGCTAGTAGTAGTTACTTTATAAAACAGAGAGGAAGCAATAGTAAAAATAATACAGCTTGTACTTCAATTCAGATATTCAGAAAATTAAGAAGTTTTATCTGTTACAATTTTCAATGCTGATGCTTTCCCAAGGAAGTCTACACAAACAGTGAATGAAGAAAATTAAGTGGCTCTTGTAGGTTTACTTGGACTCTTACATATTCTGATCATTAAAATTGGATTTGGAGTATTTGCTACTAGAGAGGCCAAATGAGCTAAGATACTGGTCTCCTAGGTTCTGTTTTCTACACAAATGTGAGTCTGGAAGCAGATATAAATACCATAACTGATTATTAATCATAACATAAGCTTTTTATCACAAACCATTATCTGTAAACCCCCATGGAGACCCTGAATGACTAAAATACTTGGTATCTCTTTAGTTTTATTGAAATATAAGCAGCCTACATTTAGCCAAATCTTCATATAAAATACTGTGGACAGCCTGAGACTTTCAAAGCTATTTACTTCAGATAGAGTTCTCTTTCTACTGAAGTCAAAGGTATAATTATTCTGGCATCGCTAGGATCATATTTAGGCTAATATACACTTCTGATTATCCTACCTGCAGCATTTTCCTGGATAGCTTCCAGAAAAGGTTAATGTAATTTGAAACAATATATTGTCAATCCCTTTTTTGAAAGATCCTATTCTGTACTACCAAATTTCTTCTGAATTCAATGGGGAGCCATGTGAAGCAAGACAGTGCAGTCAGTCTAGTATACACATATATATCCTTAGGAACCATGTAATCTGGAACTCTATTTCTTTAGTTTTTCTGGTAAATTAACAGCATGACTCAGGATAACTCAGAGATACGGAATCTAATAAATACAATGTCTCCTGACTAACATTTAGGAATTTTTGAGAATTCAAAATGCACATCCAAAGAAGAAAATTGTTGTGGATGTTTTTTAAAAACAGTGTTGTTAGACAGTTTGCTATCAGGGGTCTATTTTGCCACATTAAAAATACAAATGCTAATGCCGACAAAGAAGTATAGCTGGCAAGTCAACTAAAACTGAGTAAAATGTGCCCAGGTATAAAATCACATGCCAGACAAATGGCTTGCTCCCTTGCCAAAGGGCAATAGATAGTTACAAAAATTAACATAAAAAAGGGGAAAGAATTTAGCATTTCAATTTTTCACCTAATTGTTACATATTATATACCTCATAGCAGCCTTCCAATACCTGAAGGGGGGCTAAAGGGATGCTGGGGATGGACTATTCATTAGGGACTGTAGTGATAGGACAAGGGGTAATGGGTTAAAACTTAAACAGGGGAAGTTTAGACTGGATATAAGGAAGAATTTCTTTCCTGTTAGGGTGGTGAGGCACTGGATTGGGCTGCCCAGAGAAGTTGTGAATGCTCCATCCCTGGCGGTGTAGAAGGCCCGGTCGGACAGAGCCTTGAGTAGCATGGTTTAGTGGGAGGTGTCCCTGCCCATGGCAGGAGTGTTCGAACTAGATGATCTTAAGGTCCTTTCCAACCCTAACTACTCTATGATTCTATGAAATGTTGTTTGCAGATCCCAATTCAACACTGTGGGTGGAGTCCTCAAAACAAGCCATCACACATAATGTGAGTTTGGAATAACTCTGCACTTACCTCAGAGCTCATCCTTGAAAAGTAGTAACATTATCTTTAATGAGCTGTTTATTCTGAATTTTCTTTCAAAGTCTGTCAAGTAAAATTTCAAATCCTCCACTCAACATACTCTCAATTAGCAGAGGCAGTGATATGTGAAGCCCACCCAAATGCAGTTTGCACGTTATCAATCCAGCCTAACATTGGTTGGCTCCAGTTTCAGTTTAACACCGTACAGATGTGTTCACATCTCTGTTCTTGAGATATTTGTCAGGACACAGCTCTTTATTTGGTTTGTTTCTGTAGCTCAACAGACAGCTGTAGCCTTGACATTACAAGATTATATCTCAGATCCCTTTCATAAGCTTGGGACCTTCTTATGGAAAGCCAGTGACTGATTTATTCCAGACATGTTTTTACTTCTTATTCCTAATACTTCATATTACATACTCTTAACACATGTAACTCAAATGACTTGTCATCTACTTATATTTCTGAAAACGCATGATCAAACAGCATGCCTCTTTTCTTAAATATAGAGAAGTACCGGTAATAGCCTCCTGAAATACACTTCTGGATTCCTTTTATCATCTCCTGATGGGTAACAGTGAACTCACTCCCTGGGTAAAGAAGGGTAGCCATAACAGCAGCTTTGGAATGAGTATGGATCACTGCCCCTGCCCCTAAGAACAGAAAAAGAAGACAAAAATATATTTTTAGAATTAATTATAAAACATGTCTATTAACAAAATCTTTTTCACATACTTGATTAATTTCAAGTATTTACCATTATTCTGATAACGATAAATATTTGAAGTGAATGGAAATGATGGAAGACAGGTAGACAATAATTATCATTTACTTACAAAGGTGCAATGTTGCCAAAAATACAAAATGAGTTTTCCTTGGGTACACATGTAAGTTTCTTGTGTGGGATGGTTAGAAGAGACTCTCTAAATCCTTTCTAAAGTAACAGAAGTAAATTTGAGCCAACAGCAAAAGCTGTCTATTACTGTCTGCTTGCAGAAAAAGTTTTGTAGTTTTTTCACCTTTTTTCGTAATCCAGAACATTTGATCCCAGCCAAGTGTTGTAGAAGGATCTAAAACATAGTTGCTGAATTGGCAGAACTACTGGTATAAAATTGCTGTAAATCCTCCAACTGCTTGCCCAACCTACCAATATACTGCACTAAAAATTAGTGCCAAAAAGACAATCACAGGTATAGCTACATGAGAAGATTAAAATGTAAATTACACTCACAGGATGTTACCATGGATTACTTTCCACTGTACATACTCCTTTGCAAATCAATTTACTTTAGAGTTTTGTGTTTATTTCATTGTAACTTCCATGTGTAAAGAATATAATGAATATCGATTTTGTGGATCTGTAGATATAGTGTTTCAGTCATCAGTGAACTAAAAGCATTTGCTACACACCTCTCATAGTGTAAGCATTCATAAAAAGAGGTGTGCACTGGCTCTTCTTCAGTTTCCTGTGCGGTGGGGGACCACTGATGTCCTGTTCGTTCATGTCACAAACAAACATATCTTCTGGCTGTATGAAAGAAGAAATCATTTTGAGCTGTGATGAGCCCTTCTACAGAGATAAAACATATACACCATGTATTTAATACAGAATGTGATTTTAACTTTGTAAAAGTGCTGTAACACACCACATTTATCTTAGCTTCTAATACTACTTACTCATAGCATGAAATGTGAATTAATATTAGGTCTTTTTATTCAGACTGCTGCTAAGCAAATATTCGTAAACCTAAAATTTTGTCAAGAAAGTCTGTTTTTAAATAACAGACAGATAAAAAGGAAAAGTAGTAACTGATAAAGGAAATGTAGATGTACTTTTCCTTTCCCCCTTAAAGAACCAACAAAGGACAAGATTTAAACCTACATATAATATATTTAACTTGATAAATTATTTTTTAAAGTCTTACTTTTAGTAATTGTACATGAATATAACCCTTGCCTCAATCAGCTACTCATAAGAGCACAAAGAATTGTTCAGGGCAGCAATAAAACTTTCTTGTTTAATGTTATTTTAAGTATCAGCAGGAAATACAATTGCAAGAGATTTCCTTAGTGTGCTGAATTCACTGCTACTACTAGCAAAAAACAGACCACCACAATCTTGCCATATCATCTTACGTGCCTTCATCTGCCTTACTTGCTAACATCCCCAATGAGGACTGCTGTGAAGCTTCAAGTTTCTATCAGTGAAGAGACTCCTTTAACTTCTCACTGTATTTACCCTCAGATCTATAAAGCAACAAAGTCCTTTCACATATTGTTGTATTCTGGGGGAGTTCCTGCTGTCACAAAATAGTTACCATTTACCATTGTCCCCTCTACTTATACTTAGGGTTTTTTTTTGGACAGGAGGCAGACAGACAAGGTCACCTTTTCATGGGCAGAGCCTATATATTTACTGGGAATATTAAGACAAAGATTTGTAATCACTTAAATGAAAATAAATAGATATGAGGTGCTAATGCTTAATTATGTATGTGCCACTGTAACTTGACACTGCAGCCAGACATCTGGACAGCTTTTCAAGCTTGACGAAGAATAAAGATGGACTTTAATGATGTTCAAACCTCACAGTCTTCTGCATTAATTTAAAGCAAAGAGACCATCAAGACTAATCTACACTTGCCACTGAATACATGTTGGCTTGCTATGCTAGTGGAGTACTGGGTGAAACCCTCAGTTGCTTCAATAAGGCAGTCAATAGTATAACAAGTTTCTAACTTTACATAAGGAAAAAATGAAACTCTGAACAAAGGTACTTTCATCTATTTCAAGATGAACTCTGTGTTAAAAATACAGTTGAACATACCTGTATTCTTTCCTTTTGGACTCCTGAAGGAGCGATGTAGATTTCATTCCTATGAAGAGTTACAGACAGGGAAAAATGATCAAGACAGTGTTGCTCAACTGCATGGGCACTGGAGCTCTCAATCCACTGAAAAGTAAACAGAAAATCTGGCTCCTCATATCGTAATAACCTTCTTGCTCTTTCTATAGGTTGACATGTAGATGGTTTTCAAAACAGTACCAAATCATACAAGGGCATATGAAATCTCTAACTTGAAGGAGTACAAAACTGCTTTCAACAAGATGAGATCCAAAATGCACACAGGAACAGCAGCTTTGTTTTTCCTATGAACACCTAGCCTCCACCTGCAATAATTCCAAACTCATACCCCTAGAATTCAGAATAAAAAAGGAACTAGAGAAATCGCAAGCAGACAGTGATTGACAAAACAGGTGACAAAACTACTACTTAAAAATCCACAGGCTACCTATAAACAATATTATCTGTAGCATTCTACAACATAAATACTTTACATTTTTGTTATAACTGTATAGTTTTTTTAATGCATCTATATTAGCTGTATTGATAAAAAGACAACACTAACTCAACACAATTAAATGACTGAAATTTAATTCCAATTGCATCAGTTCTTGCTAAGACTTTAAATTACTTATTTAAATGAGGATGATTTTAAGATGCAATCTGAAATTATTTTGATATTAGCAACCTTCCCCTTCCTAGTCATGTCCCGTTCCCCCCCCCTTGCACCCTTATCTCTCTTGATTGTAATCGCTGTTTGGTTTCAGCAGTAACATACTAAATTCAGGAGCACAGAGACATCTAGTGAATAATTAGTCAAGTTACAGACACACTTTCTAAGGAACATGAGATGTTTATATTTCTGGACAAGAGAAATTTCTGGACACTTGCAGAGCAACAAAGCTGGTGAAGGGTCTGGAGCACAAGTCTTATGAGGGGAGCTGCTGAGAGAAATGGGATTGTTCAGCCTGGAGAAAAGGAAGCTGAGGGAAGACCTTATCACTCTTTACAACTACCTTACAAGAGGCTGTAGTGAGGTGGGGCCAGTCTCTTTTCCCAAATATGAAGTAATAGACCAAGAGGAAATGGTCTCAAGCTGTGCCAGGGAAGGTTTAGACTGGATATTAGAAAAAAAAATCTTCACTGAAAAGGTTGCCAAGCATAGGAACAGGCTGTCCACAGAACTGGTGGCCAACATCCCTGAAGGTATTTAAAAAACATGTAGACATGCTTAGGGACATGATTTACTGGTGGACTTGGCAGTGTTAGGTTTATGTCTGGACTCAATAATCTTATGGGCCTTTTTTGCTATTTAATTGATTCTATGATTCTAAATCTTCAAAAAATACAGCTCTTTAGGATGATTTACTCTTCACAGTGGTAAAATGGCTCAGAATCACATAAAAACATGGCTTTATATTTGTAGTTATTAACATTCATGAATTAACACTGCCAACATTGCATATAGTCGTAAATTTTTTGCATGAGCAAAATGAATGAAAGTGCAACATACCGAGAATTCAAATGGTAATTTGGTTTCTAACGAAAGCCATGCATTTTCTTCTTAAAATTATGTTTTCCTTTTTAGAAATCAAAAAATTTAGAAATTAAATCATAAATGGAAAATCTGATGATGAAATATAGCTTTCAAAATACATGATACCTTTGAAATACAGAACACCTGACACAGAATTCTAGATCCATTTTTAATATATTATCCCATGTCTGAATTGTCATTTTTGCTCTGGGTAGTTGATACAAACTACACAGTGAGTAAAGCTGATTAGAATTAGCTGAGAAGAACAGTTGTTACAATTTCAATCAAATTTCAATCATTCTTTCATTATTTCCAATGCAACAATTCTAAGCCAGTCTGATCTCTGCCTTATAGCTATTAATTTTGAAACACTTATGTTATTGTAGGTATAGAACAGTACAGCCACATGGATTCCAAGACCATGTACAGTATTGAAACCAACTCAAATACGTATTCTGGTGTAGTCTGCGCAACCAAGTTATAGAACTGCTGGGGGAAACTGTACTATGTCAGTGTGCTCTCCGTTGACACCATTTGTCTTGCCACAACCAACATCAATCACACTGAAATTACAAAGAATATAGACTACACTTAGCTACTGATGAGAAATTAGTGCTAGAAATATATTTCCATAGACAAAGAACTTTAAAAACAAGAAAAAAAATCCTTATTCCTGTCAACTACTGCTGTTGCTATGCTTGCAAGATCAAGCAGGGAAGTGAAATGACCTGCACAAAGCCATCAGAATAGCACAAATATTAGCATTTAGAGCCTTTCCTTCATATGTATCTCCCTAATATATTTGAATAGCAATGGCTGTATGTGTCTGTATGCAAGTGTATGTCAGAAAAATGAGAGGTCGGTCGCTTTCAAGTTAGATTGTCACTACACCCTGTGACTGGGGAGAACTGCAGGCACTGTGCAAGGTGTTTTGAAGAATGAGGACTTCACCTTTTTCAATGGCCACTGAGAGACGCTCTGTCTCCATTGAAAGCCTGGAAAGTATGAACATGGGGAGACTAGCAACTTAAAAAGCAAACTGGTGCTTCTCAGTAGTGGATACAGACCAAAAAATATTCTGCTGTTACCTGTTCTGCTTTAGTAATATTTTAAGAATATCTCCTTAGAAATTAACTCAGCCAAACAGTAATTTCCTCCTTAAAGGAAATGTCCTGCCTGCAAAATGTCTAGGGTGGGATCCACCTCATCTAACTGCAGGCATTTGAAAGCTGTGTGCCAGGTGTAACCCACCCTAAATTCCATAGTCAATGAAATTAAAAAGGCGGAATACAATTTCCCTTAAAGACAATTCATCTACCTTAAACTAAGATAGGAAAAAGACAGAAAAAAAAGACACTCTGTGAAGATTATCTCTATTTGAAGGGACTGCAGTGACTAATTCAGACTGGCTACCACCCTTCTATATGGTAAAATTTGTCATACTGTTCATTTCTCCTCTACCTTCTTGCTCACTCTTGACATTCAAACATTTTTCATGCTACTGAAATGCCCTCACCAATTACTAAACACAGCCACCCCCACCCCCCCTCTAACCATCACATTCTTTTTCTTCTATCTTTACTCACCCGTGTTTCAAGCTAATTCCTCCACCAGTTCCTGTTACCCAGCCTAAACCATAAAACAGTCTGCAAAGATCTGGGATAAGATTTCTTGGATGTAACTTCTCCTAAAAGTAAAGAAATAATTAAAACTCATCAGAAACATCATAAATCTAAGCATTTCAAAGCTGAAATTAAGTTTAAGGGGACAGTACTTTTATAGTGCAGTATGACAGTCTGATTTATGCTTATGAACTTCAGTTACAACATGACTGCGTGTTTGTACAATGCCCTTTATGCTTTGCAGGAGCCATTAACACCTTGAAAGGAACAAACAAAAGCCCCCCCCCCCCCCCCAAATGCATGTCTGACTATCCTTCACAGAAAAGATTTCATCTCAAATTTAAGTGCAGTGGCCCACAGGTCTTATCCCAGCAAGGTTAGGTTGTAGACTATTGCTATTAAAAAAAGAAAAATAAATGCATCTAACATTACCATTTTGAAAAGTTCAACTATTTTTTTTTCCAATTGAATCAGTTTTCTGTAGGTTTATTTTGCTTAATTTACAAATTTCAGTAGAAGAGACTTTATTTGTTCTGTTCTGTATTTTTACATAGCAGTCAAAAATACCATAGAAAACACAAGCAAATTATTTGATGAAGTTCACATTCCTATATTTTTACAATGTGAGGTTACCTCACATGCATTTTAGCCAGAAAGCAAATAGCATTTTTTAATATTTCTTTCAGAAGAAAAAAAAAGCTCTTATTTTTTTCAATATTCCACTGTTCAGTACATCAATAAATATCTATTAACCAAAGTATCTGCAGTGTCACAGATTAATCACATAGTTCATCTAAACCAGAGTGGGTTTACAGTACAAGACAAAACAATTTAATGGAAATTCTAAACGCTACTCTGTACTGATGATACAAAACAAAAAAGCTGTACCTAACAGGCAGTGGTCTTTGATTAAGTGAGTGCTACATTACAAAATTAAACATTTTTCATGTTGGATTCATTCACGTAAGAAATATAACCAGTATACACAGAGAAAACCATGAGAAGTTATTTTAATTCATGCTGTGCACTTGAATAAATGCATTTGCATGTTGTTTGAAGTATTTCTTTCAGGTTATTTGAGAAAACAAAAAGTGAGATTCTCCCTCGCCCCCCCCCGTACCAGTATAAAGATAAAAATCATATGTTCTTTCACAAAGATCCTGATACGACGGAACCCATGAGGTAAGGAAGTAAACAGCGAAACAAAGCAGCAATTTTATTTATGACATTTTATCTCCCTGGGATAGAATAAGATTTCCACCCCATTATCAAAGCAATACAGATGGGTTTGTATCTTATATGGGTGTGTGAGAGAAATCAGAAATTAAGCACATCAGATGGGCTTCTTGCTTTGCTTTCAACAGAAAAATGTAATAGTTTTAGGCAGACTAAACCCTTAGGTCACCAAATACAGTCCCCTCCTACTGCAGGCAACTCTCACAGAATTCTTTTTTTATATGCATTACACCTGATCAATACTTCAAACTTCACAGAATCACAGAACGGTTTAAGCTGGAAGGGACCTTAAGGCTCAGTTAGTTCCAAACCCTGCCACAGGCATTAATGCACATGTTGTATGTTTACAAACACAAAACAAGCACAGCTATGTGTAAATTATGGGTCGCTCTTTCATTGTTCTGATTTATTGATACAGAATTAATAGCTGTACCTAATTCCCCTGTCACAAAACTGAGTCCCATAGTATCTTGCTTTATTATTCTTCAAAATAACATTGCTGTCTATTCCTAACCTAGGTATTACAACCACTATTTTTTATTTCAAAGAAAAATGATGTCTCTTCTACTTTTGATGGAATAAGTTTATACTAAATAGGTTTATATTGTTATTATTTATTGAATGTACACAGCCATG